AAAAAAAAAAAAAAAAAAATGGCTCAAAAGGAAAAAGGTGATGATGATCATATTTAAGATTACATTTTTAATGCAATATTTATATGTTAATAAATTATTATTACCAAGAATATATGCAATGGCTCTCCATCCTCCAACCTTTTTGGGTTGTGAAGGAGATAGATTTTGCGATTCGACATTCGCCGGAAAACGGCTTCCGATTTCCATCTCTCCCCCCATTTTCCTTGTATTCTTGACGAGTCGAATCGGAATCGATTTGGTTTCAGAAAAGACGACGTACCATTTTTTCGGATTGTAATTTTATGTAAATTGTTCCTGCAAAGGGAATAATTAAATGAATTGATTTTGATTCTATATTTTTCTCAAGAATATGATCCCTCTGCTGGAATGAATTATTGGTTTCCCCTGCAAATGGCATGCTTTTGAAATGAAAAGGCATGCATGTGACTCGGGGAAGTAGGTTGGCAAACAAATCTAGGGTTTACAAAGTCAATGAACAAGAATATTAATGGGTGATATGTGGATTGGAAATGACTTTGACTCGGGACGATTTAGCCTCAACTCAACATATGGTGTGTTTGTGTTGTGTTGTGTTGTGTTGTGTGTAGCCAATAGGTGATAATTTCAAAAAAATTAGGCTCATATTTTTGTGATGTGTAAGAGTAATCCTAATTGGCATTTTATTATTCATTATTCATTAACAATTTCTGCAATTTTAAGAAATAATCAATTGGAAGATAGTTTTGGTCTCAATCTGGTGGTACACGGGACATGTTAATTTTTTTGTGGATATTTGAACTTTTGATCACAATTAACAAATAAAGTGCTCGGCATTAACAGGGGTTGGGCTCAAGTGGTAAGCAGCTTAATGTCCCTTAAGCAAAGTCTCGGGTTCGAGTCCTTGTGGATGCAGAAAACCCTTGTTGGGAGACTCACCTACTACTGCCAGGTATGCGATCGAGACCCTTGCTGGGAGACTCGCCTGACAGTCTATCAAGTGTCCGGGTCGACCAACGAATTAGTCGGGGCATAGCTCTGGAACCGTGGCTGGCTTAAAAAAAAAAAAAAAAAAGTGCTTACGCTTGTTGTGCTTTCAGCGTGATTTGTTGTGTTTTAGAGTCGGTCCAGTTTGAATTCATTCTAGAGTTTTTTTGGTCTATTTGAATGATTATATTAATACTAACATGGTTATATGGAAGTGCTTTCAGTATATGGGGATGTAGCTCAGATGGTAGAGCGCTCGCTTAGCATGCGAGAGGTACGGGGATCGATACCCCGCATCTCCATCTTTTTTTCTTTCTTCGGTCAATTTTTCAACCACAACTTTTGGGCCTTACTCACTTTTTTGTATATGGACTTTCATGACCTTGTGTCAACCAACTACTTTTGGGCCTGGATCATTGTTCTGTATGTGGACTTTCATGATCCTATCGAATTCATGCTTGATTCTGGGCCCTTTTATATGAAACCTTGAAAAGCGGTAGATCCGAAAGCTTTTCTCCATTAATCTCTGTGTTCTCCGGAGACCGAACTCCGCCGTCAACTCACCGTCCAGTAGCCCTCCGGCCATTTCTCCGCCTTCCTATTTAGAAGGTACTCATAAGAAGAAGAAGAAAAAAAAATCAATCTTTACAAACCCTAGATTATGCTTTTCACCATTTCACACAATGCGTAATTAGGTCTTTTGTAATGCTTGATTAGTTCTGTTAGCTGTTGCTATTGCTACTGCTTCGTATGGTGCCTGATTTTTCTTGATTTACCCTCTCAATTATATATATTTGATCAGTTGTTTTAGTTACAGAGCTGCAAAAAAGAAGGAAAAGATGAATGCCCCCGATCGTTATGAGAGATTTGTCGTCCCTGAGGGTGTCTCTAAGTATTCTCTCTCTCTCCCTTTCTCTCTCTCTCTCTCTCTCTCTCTCTCTCTCTCTCTCTCTCTCTCTCTCTCTCTCTCTCTCTCCCTCTCTCTCTGTGTGCGCACTTTTCTTCTGTTCCTTTTATCCACTTCTCTTTGGTGATTAGGGTTTCTGACTGATTAACAGGGTATCGTATGAGAGGGACACAAAGATTATCAATGCAGCTTCCTTCACAATCGAGCGAGAGGATCACACTATCGGCAACATACTCCGCATGTATAATTTCTTCATCTTCATCATCTTTTCGTTGCTGTTATTTGTTCATCTGGAGTTTGGGTGTTTCTGTTTCGCTTCGTGCAAGACATAATTCTTCTGTGCAATGAAATCAGGCAACTGCACAGGGATGAGAATGTACTTTTTGCTGGATACAAGTTGCCTCACCCACTTCAGTACAAGATACTCTTAAGGGTTTGTACTCTTTCTTGTTCGACAGAGCAGCTAACAAATTGCATGTTTAACTTTTTAAGGGTTCGGCCTATTAGTATAGAGCAGACAAGACTATGGTAAACAAGGAGTTGGATGTGTAAGAATGTGTATTTGTTTTGTCAGAAGCAATATCAATGAGCACAACCAGAGACTTAGTGGAATAGAAACTTTATCTCTTGTTTGGTTTCCTTCTCGATTTTGCCAATTTGGAACCTCGATAGAAGTTCCGTGGACTTTCCCTTTTGGAATGAAAAAGTTAATTCTTTGTTGCTTGTGCTGTTCTCGACCTGCGATATTATTTAGTTGCTAGTATGGATTATTTGTTTGATTCTAATAAACTTGATTGGAAACTAAAATTTTGTTTCTGTTGGAATCTGTCTTGAAAACTAAATTGTTCACTGTAAGATTTCTTTCCATTCCTTGATAATTGTTCCTGACTTTAGACTCTTGGTGGTTTTTTTTGTGGGTATCTGCAGATCCACACAACAAGCCAGTCTTCTCCGATGCAGGCGTATAACCAGGCAATCAATGATCTGGATAAGGAACTTGATCATCTGAAGAATGAATTTGAGGTAGTATTATTGTTGCTCTTCTTTTTCACTATGATGTTTGATGCTGAAAACTCAGAATTTTGGGAATATTTGGGAGAGGGGAAACTCAAGCGTGTCTTAATGTTTTGTGTAACATGCGAATTAATTGCACCAATTGGGAACATAAGAAGTCTTACTCTGATTTAGGTGAAATGCACAACTTGGCCTTGAATTTTGCCAAAAAACAGATTCTTTTGTACAAAGCCTTGTCAGTGACATTTTATTTATACTTCCCAAAACTCATCAAGATCAAGTATTCAGAAGTCATTGAATATGTTAGGGTTGATGGTAAACTTTAGGAGTTGTTCATTTGCTTAGTTTTTTACCACATATCACAAGAGACATTACGGGAGCAAAAAAAGTTGTGAATCTGGTTCATCACTGCTTTCCATAGTGTGAATTTTAGTTTCTTCTTGGCATTTGGAGGATGAAGAACAATAGTTGGACAACTTGACATTATGAAATTCTCGACACAAAAGAATCTTCATTAAAGATATACACTTGCTAGTACATGGTCATGCCTTTCTCCTTTGGTATTATCATCTACTTTTACACTTGAAAATTCTGTCATGATTAGACCTTTTATCTTGCACCCCGGCCTTTATTTCCATTACTTTTGTTTTGCTATTCGAAGAAAATAAAGCCCGCATTGGTACATTATCTCTTCTTCTTAAAGTTGAAAATAAGAAAAACAAGAACTATATGGTTAAATCATAAATTGTTCGTGAAAAGGAATATTTGCAGTTGAAACGTGTAGCCAAAAGTTATGCGACTAAAAACTCTACTTGTTCTTGAACCTATACACAGGCAGATCTAGCAAGACTGGAGGGAAAGCAACCAAGGGATTACTAAACTCCATGTCTGTGTTTTATCTTCTGCTCTTTCGTAAACTTAATGTTCATGTAGGTCTCTGATACACAAATGGAGAATATTGTGGTAAAGTTTGGTGATGATTAATTTGTAGATGGCAAATCTTTAGTTCATGCTTATTTTGGCTATCTAGATTTCACAGTTGTGGTGTACCATCTGCGAATGTTTGTGCTTGCACTTTTTGTGTTGTTTAATTGGGATTGTGTGATCTCGAAACTTTCCAAATGCCAAGTGGTTATAGAGATGTAGATTTCAATCCAAGTAAACATTGTAGTTGAATTAATCTTATTTTCTAATGGATTAATCTACTCTCTTTAATGTTTTTTCGGGCTAATTTGACCCATATTAGATTTCGAGCCGTTGGATCACACGTGCATGCACCAGTAACTTGAAATTCACCCTCTTTTATAAGAGTTCTTACCTCTAAATCTTGTAAACATTTAGGACAAATCATCACCTTACCTCCAAGATGAAAAAAAAAAAAAAAAAAATTCTAAAACAAAGTTCCTTTACAAAACGCATTCCAGCAGTACGGTTCAATGCTATTACATTCTGCAGATTATAGACAAAATACACAACTTTTTACTGACTTGGGTGTGTGCCCACATTGCACCAGTCAAGCTTTGCAAAATACCAGATAACCAAGAAAACCAACTCCCACAAAATAAGCAGTAGTAGTAAACTAGCAGCTGAGGATCAATTTTTCTTTCTTTCTTTTTTTTTTTTTTTATTTCATTGACAGAGAAGATGGGGCCCACAACCAACACGCTTGCTCGTTTCTTTTATAGCGATTCCCTCGAGAATCCCATCAGTTGAAAAGGTCCCATGAAACTGCTGAGGGTCAACCGGACCAGGCAGCTTGAAGGAGATGGAGAAAGGGCCGGGCGGGCATAGGTTGTGGGTCACCATCTCGAATGACTGCTCGTATTTTTCGACCACTCTTTCACCAGTAACCGTAACTCCTTTGATAATCACAGTACCATTGCTCTCGATCTCACAGCTGAAGTCTCCTGCAAAAAATAAAGATTTTCCGAGCCCCCAAAAAAAGTAAGAAACGGGTTATAAACTTAAATCTTAATCTCTACTACTCAGAGAGAGAGAGAGAGAGTAATCTGTTAGTTACAAACTCAAGCTGTACACACCAACTTTAAGGACATATCTGTAATATTCAAAGATAACTGGGACTACTGCAATCTTTTGCAACTGGACTGAAATTCAACACTATTTTTCAGCTCTCTCTTCAATCAAGACTCATTTTTGGGATTCCCTATAGATAAAGTTTCAAACTTCAGGACATCAAGACATCTAAAGACCACACACATATATATAGCATGGCAACTTGAATTTTTCCACAACAAATAAGCCGCCGCCTTTTTCAGGACATCACGAAAACAAACAACAGCACAATCGAACTAACCAATGCTCCACGATTCCATTTTTGTTTTCCCGAAAAAAAGAACAAAAAAAGCAATTAAATTAGATCAAAACTTACTCTCATCCCTCCTCACCCCTGGAAGCGAAACCCGAAACAGATACGAATCCTCCGACTCCCCAACATCCATCAGCCCAATAACAGGCCCAACAGGCCCTTTCCCCGCACTCCCCGTCACCCCAAACCCACCCTTTACAGCAGCAACCATGTGGGCCCACTCCTCCCTCGACGGAGGCTCCGGGACAAATATCAACCCGCACTCGGGTCCAGGCCCGGGCCCGCCAAATCCCAAGCAACCCCCGGACCCCACCGAGTCAGAAGCCCCTTCCACCTTCACATCATACAAATCCTCGAATATGTTAAGCATCATACTATCCCTATCAAAGGCAAAACCATCCAAACCCGTGAGGCTCTTGAACCTTTCGACTTCCCGAGCCTCCATGTAATCGATATTCGGGTTGCTGATGAATGCAATGTTGCTGACAGTGTCCCCGGAAAGCACATGAAGCTCAGGAGGAAAGAGATCGGCGAACGAGGGGTAGTCTGTGGGGCCCATTTGGATCGGGCTATGGATGTACTGAAGTAAATGGGGCTGCTTTAAGATTAGGGAGTGTTTGGCCTTTCGGAGGATGTAGTAATAAACGCTCTCGATTATGCTCGTCTTCATGAGCGAGCCGGATAGTTCGTGTGAGCTGTATTTTGGGAGGCGTTGGGCTCGTCTTTGGAGTGCAGATTTTGGGGGGGTTTGATTCGTGAGGTCGGGGGCGAAATAGGCACCCATGATGAGGTGGACTAGGAAATGCTGGTCATCGGTTAACAGAGTGGTAACCATTTGTTTGCGGGCCGAGGTCGAGGGATTATGTCCTGTTTCCATGGCCTGCAAGCATGCATTTAAGAAAAAAAACAGAGTTTACAAAATTGCACAATATCATTCCATTCAAAAGATAATACTTCATCATATAGTAATCCTATTTTTTTTCCCCTTTGAGTTAAACAATTAACTGTTACTTGAAATCCTATAAAATTTGTTAGGGGGAGACTTAAAAAGACCGACAAAAAGGGATTTTGGTCATAGATTTGCTATTTTCTTGATTGTTATTTTTAATATGTTCAGACACCAAGATTCAAGCTTTTTTACATTATATAATGCTTTCAGCTACACAAACCATAGAATGCATAAAAGCACGAGGAATTGTTACCCTACTTGAGAGATTTCAGGCAAGAAAGTTCACACCTTTCCTCATTGAAAAGTAAAATGCAAGAACATGAAGGCACAATCAGGCGAGGGCAAAAGTTGGGACAAAACCTCACTGTCGAGATCTGCGGCGAGTCCTCCGCAACCGCCGCCGGTGCCTCTTGCCGGTGGAGAAAATTATCGGACTCGCTCGTGAGAACGGTGAAAATCGCCTGAGTTTACCCTTTACACGTGTTCTTCCCTGTTCATTCACAGTGGAGTTTTTTTTTCAGAAATTCAGACAAAAATGAAATTTCCCATTTGACTCTTACACTGTTTTCAATGTGCAAAAATGCATTGGTGTAGCCTTTTGTACAAAAACTGAACTTAAAATATCTCCAAAAAAAAAAAA